GATCTCTCGTGGATCTATACAGTTCGCGGCCGCAGAAGCGGGCGGTGCTGCGTCGACGCCTCGTGGCGTCTGCGCCGCGTCTTGGCGGCGCATCCAGGGCATCAGCAGTGGCGCCGCTGTTGGTCCTGAGGCGTCGGTAATCCTGGCCTCTAGTGGGCCGTCTGAGGTCCTGGGGGACTCTCTTGAGGATACATATGGCGGAGCTGGTAGGCCGGCGTCGGGGAGTCTCCGAGGTCCAGCTGACAGGGGCCTGTGGAGTAAGTCTTGGTGCTGATCCTCAGGCGGCTGCAGTCCTTGCTGCGGCCGCTGCTGCAGGCCTTGCTGCTGCTGTCGTCGGTGGGCCTCCTGGTGGGGCGCCTCGGCGGGCCCTTCTGGAGACAAAAGGTTCAGCGCCTTAGAGCCAAAGTGGCTGGTCGCATGGCTCGCCCTCTGCTGGGCTCGTCTCTGGAGAGCGGGTCGGTCGTGTCGATGGGGGCTTGCCCCGTTTGGCCTCGCTGGCCGCCCTGGTGGGGTCGCTGGTGCACTGCGGTGGTCGGCCGAGGGGATGGCCCTGGGTCCGACGGCTGGTGCAATCATGGTTGCTGGTGCCTGCGAGTTGCCAGGGGCGTGGTCCTGATCCCAAGGCGCCGCGGCTGAGCAGATTACCCACTTCGCTGGCAGTGCTGAAGCTAGTCTTTTTATTGGTTTTAGTTTTTTTGTGTCGCTGTCGCTGGTTGTGATGCGCTACGTTGCGCTGCCGTCGGCGTTGCGCAGCGTGCTAAGCCACGAGCTAACGCCGCTGAGGCGGTCGGCGGGCTCCCGAGCGGAGCGCGCGGCTGTGAAGGCGTCTGGGCTTGTCGCTGAGTGGCTGGCACCGCACGGGTCGCACAGCGCGTCTGCTGGGGCTCAGCGGTTGCTCCGATGAGCAGGTAGTTACGCATAGCCACTCTGAGCGGGCTAGGTGCTCGGTCTTCTGGCGAGGTGGCGGTGGGACCCCCCCCGCTGGGCCAGTCGCCCCCCGGCGGGGGGAGTCCTGCTCAGTTGTTTGTCGTGCCCGAGCTTGAGCCCGAGCTGCCCTCCCGACCCTCAGGGTTGAAGCGCCTTCGGTCCATTTGGTTGTCGAATCCGTCGCCGTCGCCCAAGATGCGGACCTTGCGCGCTGGCCTGCTGTGGGCGCTTGTCCCGCGGAGCGCCGAAGGTGGTGCAGATCTGGCTCGGTCGGGAGTGGCGATGTGGAAGCGCGCGGGGAGCGGCTTCGGGGAGAAGGGTTGGGCGGGTGCGAAGGGGGAGCCGACTTCGAGCATGATAGGGGAACGTGGGGGGGAGATTGGGTTCCCAAGTAGGGTGGTATGTGCGTTAGTCGGTCGGAAGGGTCGTGGGGAGTCGGGATCGTCGGGGAGCGGCACGGACTGCGCCCGCGGCGGGGGGGCGGCCATGGGGGTCGGGGGGGGGGGGGGGGCAGGAAGGGTCCTGCCCCCCAGGGAGCACCTGGAGTCGGTTGCTCGTCAGGGGGGGTCGGCGATGCCTGGGCTGCCGGGGCGCGCGTCGGGTCGCCGAGGTCGCAGCCGCTGGGGTCGTCGAAGCTCTGGTCGTCTGCGTGTCGTGTGTGGAGTGGGGTGGGCGTCGCAGCCAAGAAGCTTTCGTGCGTCTTCGGGGTCTTCGTGGGCGTTCCGTCTCCCGCCGCTGGCGTCGGAGCGACTTCCGTGGGGGATGCGAGGTCGATGAAGGGGGTCGAGTTGTTGCGATGGTGGCATCGCTGGTGGTGGGGGTGGCGGTGACCGCTGTGCTGGAGCTTGCGGCTGCGGGTTGTTGTGCAGATTGGCGACCTGGTCGAGCTTTTGCGTCGTTGGGTACGTACCGTTGTGAGCGAGATCCGCGGAGCGGTCGACGATGCTCTCGCTCCCGCAGTGCCTGCACCTGATGATCTCCGTCTTGCAGCTGGTGTAGTTACCGCAGGTCTGGCAGAGGCTGCAGTAGAAGGGCGGCGTCAAACCTTTCGAGGATCCTGGTGATGAGGGAGCGCCACGAAGTGCTGCCATCTTCGGGGTTGCCGTCTGGTCGAGCTCGGCGTAGTACGGTTCGTTGGTCACGTCGTTGTCGAATTCGTGCGACGGGGCGATGGCGTGGAGAGCGGAGCGCATGTTGTCCCGCTGGTGGGCCTCCTCATCGTCAGCTTGGGCTTGCATATTCTGCTTCTCGGTTTCCGCGGTGAAGGCGCTGGCGACGCTGGCGAGCATGTCAGCGTCGATCCGGGGCGCAATGTTGTCGAGCTGCTCCCGCAACGTCTTCTCAAGGAGTACTTGGCGCACGCGGTGCTCTTCCTGCTGTCGGACCAGCTGTTCGCGGTGATGCTCTTCCTGTGATCGTCGCTGCGCTAGTGCGGCACGTAGCTCGGTGTTGGCGATCTGCTGCTGCTGGTGCATCTCCGCCTCGTGCTGGCCGCATCTCTCCAGGAACTGCTCGCGTTGGCGCTGTTCATGCTCGGTCTTGTGCTGCGGCTGTTGCTGGAGGGCCTGTGCCTCGTTGAAGAAGAACTGGTGCTGTAGGGTTGCTCGTTGGTGCGCTGCTTCCTTGGCTTCGAGCTGGTCTAACTTTTTCTGGATATGGCGCTGCGCCTCGAGCTGGAGCTCCGCCTGCTGGTAGACCACCTCGCGCTCCCTCTGGACCGCGGTGTGCTCCTCCAAGAGCTGCGTGGCCGCGATGACCGTCTTCTGCTGAATCACTTGCTCTTGGTGGATCTCCTCTCGCTTTAGGCCCGCTTGGGCCCCCGCGATCTGCTCGGCGATGTCATTTTTTCTGTGCATCTCCTGGGCTGTCATGGCAAGTACGGCCTGCTCCTCGAGGTGGAGGTCCTGGTTCATCTGCTCTACCCTCTGGCCCTCGCGCCGCAGGCGATCGCACTCACGATGGAGTTGTTCAGTCTGTGCTTGCTGGCGGGCTGCTTCCTCGGAGGTAGTTGCGGTGCTGGTCTGGGTGGCCGTTTCCGCGCGGATGGCGTCGAACATGTAGTGAGCCTTCTGGCGCTTCTGCTCGTAGGTGAGCTTCTGACGCCCTAGGTCGTATCTCATCGCACGCTCGTGGTTCTCCATCCTCTGCGTTTCCTGCTGCATCTTCTCGGCGTAGACCTGACGGACGAGCTCTACCCGCTGCTGGAACACGCGCTGTTGCTGTGCTTCTTGGCGGCGGGGTGCCTCCTTGTTCCTTGATATGGCTTGCTCCGTGGCGTTCAGAGCCGTCTTGGAGAGCTCTTGTTCGTGGTGCACGAGCCTGTCGCGGCTTTGCATCTTCATCTCTGCGAAGCACTGGCGCATGGTTTCGACCTCCTCCTCGTACTCTTCGGTATTTTTGCGGAGCTCGGCGTTGGCGATTTTGACGTGGCTCCTCCAGTCTCGGCACGCTTCCTCATCCTTTCTGCCTGAGCTGCTCAGCGATGCTGTTTGATGGTGGGGCCGCTCGAGCGCGAGGATGGAGGCTCTCGACTGGCGCGACGATGAAATGGGGCGTTGGCTCTCTTAGTTTTGTACTGGTTCTGGTCATCCTCAGAGTCAGCTTCGCAGTCCGTGCCCGCTTCGGCGGCAATCTCGAGCTTGACATCCGTGACGAGGCGCCTCAAGTCTGCGATGAGCTGGGTGTTGGCGCCGGCCTTGGTCTGCAAAGCTTTTTCTCGTAGATGTCCTTTTGCTCTTTTGCCAGCGCGTCGATATGATATCGATACTGTTGGAACCGAACCTGTGGGTCAGTGGCCATCGCCAGCATGCACTTGATCACCGAGGCCTCCGTTATGAGTTTGCCGGCGTCAACCTTGGCGGACTGCGCGCCATTGATCTGATCAGCGGTTCGACCAAGCCTCTGTTGGAGGCTCCTCGTCCACAGTTTCCTCATGTCGGGGTCCTCTGGCGGGAGGCCGAAGGATTCGTGGTCGCGGGATATGGAATGCGGGAGCTCGAGCACGGAGTCGGCGATGGCCTGCTGCTTCTTATTGAGGGTGTGCTCCTGGATGTAAACGGCGGCCTTTTTCCTGGACTAGGAGCTGCTCTAGGAACTCCTGCTCGTGGGCCCTGATCTCCGCCACGGCCATGGCTGCCTCCCAACAGCAGGCCCAGGGTGTGTGGTCCCTGCTCCTGACCACCTTTCCCCTGGGCTCGCGCTGGCGCCTGGGCTGTGGACCCCGCTCCTGTCCACCTTTGCCCTGCGCCGCGCTGCGACGGCTCGAGGTGTGTGGCCCCTGCTCCTGACCACCTTTCCCTCGAGGCGCCGCGGGGCTGCTGCTGTTTCCAGCTCTGCGTCATGGCGTGCAGCTGGTGTCGCTGGGGCTGCTGGGCGCTGTGGTGCTGCTCCAGCCTGCTGGCGGCGGCCGCCAGCCTGATGAGCAGCCTGTCCTGGCCGCGCTGGGTCCTGGCGCGGCGGTGCCAGGTTTCTTCTTTTGACCTGGGCGTGGTGGGAATGGCGGCTCCTGCCGCCGCGGCTGCGGCGCCTATGGCGGGCCGCGCGCGAGCCCAGGCCGACTGGGGTGACCGACGAGGCGACGACGGCCCAGCCCCTCCTCGGCCAGTGGTTTTCCTCCTCCTCCTCCTCCTCCTCCTCCTCCTCCTCCTCCTCCTCCTCCTCCTCCTCTTCCCCCTCCTCCTCCCTAGGCGAAGTGTGCACGGAGCTCGGGCGAGGGCGACAAGGCGCCCGCTCGCGCGGCCCCCGCAAAACTTGGCGGGCTACAGGTGTGCGCCGAGCCGAGGAGGGAGCGCCATCCTCAGGCGAGATCTGCGCGGCGCTGAAGCGAGAACGATTTTTGTCGTCCGCTCGCACGTCGGCGAATTGGCGAAGTGTGCGCCGCGCCCAAGGGGGGAGCTCCACTCTCAGGAAAAATGCGCACGGCGCTGAGGCGAGAGCGACATGTCGCCATTTCGCGCAGGATGGACGACCCGTCCCGTTCTTGCCATGAATTTTACAGCGTCGACGGGAAGACGTCCATGTTGGAAGGGAAACCGTTGAGTAGTGGCTCTTGGCAGCCAGGATGAGCCGTTCTGGATTGAGTCGCCATGGTCCTGCAAGGTGGCACAACCGTACCCATGTTGGCTCAAGTCTTCCACGGGGACACAGTCGGCGAAGTTACTCTCGTCCCCTCCCTGGGGTGGCAAAGCTGCAATCTGCCTGAAGTATCATGGGTGTGGTGGGAGATGTCTAATTCGGCGGACCCCGCGCGAATCTCATCCTATCTGACAACTGATTTGTACCCACCTCAGAGGGCGACCAGCAGTAGTGGATCACAAATATGTATTCCACCGGTCTCAACACAAGCATTGCATGCAGAACAAGGGTCAAGCTCCGACGGACCAGGCGACGATGGCCCGATATGTACACATGAGGGGACACGCGTAGGCATGCTTAACGACCTCGACGTGTTCAAAATATTCCAGGTCAAGATGCTGGCGAAGCTGAATATATATATATATATATATATATATATATATATATATATTCGAGTTCAGCGATTATGGTCGCGTTGTTGCAGCGCTGAGCAGCATGAGCTCAGCATCCTTTGTGATCCATGGACTGCTCGTTCCGCAGCGCTGGGACCTGATGAGTATTTTCCCGCGGCCAGTCTTCGAAGTCCGAAGTGAGTTTCTGGAGCTGGTTCAGAATTGGGCCGCGGGGTTCCTTTACGTAGCGCTCGGCGTGCTTCTCCCCCATCTGGCGAGGTGCAGCAGCGTGCACTTGCAGCGGACGCTGAGCGTTGCGAACCGCAAGGCCCCAAATATGAAACTCGGCCGTCCATACATGTTCTTCTCCTCTGTCTTGTGGCCGGTTGCTTTTCTATCGGGTATGGTTGCGCCAGTGTTAATTTGGTTGCCCTTGCTGTATGGGGACGGCTTTGCGAGGCAAATGCAGGTTGGGTTTTGGACTGCATTCAGCGTTTTCACCTGGTCCATCGGCATGCTCTGCTTTGGACCTTGCATGGTGGAAGAAATCGGTACGATAGCCGTGCAAACAATTGTCGACGGTGTCGTTAAGGAGGTGGCCGACATGCGTGCCACGCCAAACCAGTGGCAAAATGTGCTGGACTTAGTGAGGGCGACAGATTTTTTGGTGGTGGACACCTTCGATTGGAAGTGCCTGGGGCGTTTGATCATATTTCGCGTCTCCATGCTCTTCTCGCTCGCAATTGGATTCGGCGTTGTTGGAACCGTCCACTCAAGGTATCTTTCGAGAAAGGGCACAATGGTGATGGGGGGGCTGTCAGCAATTTGCGGCTGTGCTATTTTATTACGTGTGGGACTCATCAACGGGACGTGTAGTAACAAGCAGCCTGGCTCTAAGTGTCTTACGGCAGAGTTGCTCCATATAATGGTGGAGCATGAATTGAGACATGATTCGGAACCGAGGGCCTTCTGTCAGTTGTCGTTTTACCTCAGCGAGCGAACGATTGGCATAGAGTTGTTGGGTACTCGAATCACCACTGATTTTGTAGCAAATGTCGCACTACGAACATGCTTTTACTTTCCAGCCGCGGTCGCTGTCATTGAATGCGTATGGCACAATCATACCATTGACGACATCGTGACGACATCATAAAGGGCCACAGCGGGAACACCAGCGAATGATATGACGCGCTCGCTGCCTGCTCAAGCTTCCTGATCAAAGTGTTGCAGGAAAGCGTCGTTATAATCATTACTAGCCAGCCGATCTGCGGTTGATCGGGAGTTTTTCTGTACATAGAAGAAGGGGCGTGCGTTTCTGGGCGAGAGGTGAATGGTCGTGGGTTATCCTTGGGGGCGCGGTGGGGCCTGACCTTCCCGCGCGCCAGGGGTCGGGATGACGTGAGTTCCGCTCGAATTCCTCCGAATGATATCATGAGTGGAATGAACACCCGACGCACATGCGCTGGCCCTTCGGGTCGCATGCATCCTGACTGCATACCGCAATTCCCCACGAGCCGTTCGGCGTAGTTGGCAGTCTGCATCGGCATCATTGGCGTGTGCTGTGCTCACCACTTGCATGGTTGTTGTATGAACGCCGCCGTGATGGCATCTTCGATGCGGGTACGTATTCGCTGCTCGAGGAAGATATGATAACACATCTGATGGCTTCTGGGCAATAAGGGATCCCGAATTCTGCATGTCTGCTGTTTTCCCAGCCCCCGACGCGCGCCACGGCTCGCCTATCGCAGGTTGGCTCGAGCGCCGCTTCCGATGTCTTTCTCGCTCCCTCCTCCGCCTCTCCCTCTTCCTCCCCTCCTCCTCCTCCTCCTCGCGCGGCTGCCTCTTTCGAGCCAGGCTGGGGTGGCTGTGGTCGCAGCCTACTGCATCTCCGCTTCTCTGCATCCCTCGCGGCGGGAAACGAGCCACGTTTTGTTGGGGGAGCGTTCTCCCAAGCAGTGGCAGCAAATCGCCCGCGCCCGAGTCCGTGACACTTGTGTGTGCCCCTGCAGTCCACAGGGGGGGCAGGACCTGTCCGCCAGCGGCGTGGCGTGTTGAGGCTGTCTCTGGACGCATGAGGAGCGTAATGTGGCAGGCAGGAGCAAAGACCCCCTGTCGCCCAGGAGAAAAGACATGGCCCTGCAGAGTGGCACGAGCACGAGCACACGCGAGCCAGGAGCACGGAGGGGGAGGCGACGGGTGGCCCCCTCTGCCGGCAGAGAGGGGGAACCTCCAAGCGGGCCCTGAACACCGTGGTCGTCGGATGGCCGCCCCGGACGGGCCGGCGCGGCCCAGGAGCAGCCAGACGGCTGGCAGTTTCTACAGGGCCAAGGCATCCTCTTCCTCCCTCTGTCCCGTCTCGATGCCCGAGGTCGTTGAACGTTTTCTGGGGGCCGTCCGGAGGCCTCCAGGGTCCTCAAGAGACCTATGGAGAACTCCCGCATTGTCGCCGTCGTGGCCCTCCGAGTCAGAATCGACCGAGGGCTGCTTCATCGGACCAGAATCAACCAACCAGATGCCTTCCCTTCCTCCGTCCTTTCATTTGCAGTGTAGTGGAAGAATCCCGCCTGACAGGCCCAGAGGCAGCATGGAAGGAACCGTCAAGCATCCACGCTGGCGTTGTGGACCCCAGCCGGGTTGCCAGGACTCCACATTTCATTCACTCCCTCCTGCCGGGCTGCACGGGGTTCCCGCGACGCGAGCAGGTCTTGTCGGCGATCGAGCACACCGTCGCCAGGCTGCCGGCCTGCCTGCTCGCCATCGCTCGCGCCGCGACCACGAGGAGGAGGAAGCAGGAAGTGGAGATGGAAGAAAGGGAGGAGGAACCTGACGAGGGTGATATTAGGAAGACGTCATGGTGATAGTACGTCCCAAAATTTCCCACGTTGTCGATGTCTCCGCGCGGACTCCAGAGACGAGGGCCGCCAGATGCTCTGGAAGTCCTGGGAACTTGTCCTCAGCGAGTCACATCACGACATCAGTCTCGTCCTCGATGTGGAGGAGCGGGAGGACGGAGGTGGAGGGCGAACGCACATCTCGACACCGACCCCACTCCCATCCGTAGAGTTGATTGAGATTGCTGGAGCGAGTGTGCGGTGATAAGGCGACAGCCACGCTCGTACCTGCAGTGCGAGCGTATGGAGCGAAGGCGATGTTGCCCGCAGGCACACGGTGTTGTTGTCGCTGCAGCAGGCACAACGACACCGACTTCACCATCATGTGCTGATTGGTGGTGGGCGTCACCTTCATCATCAGCTTCCTCTTCCTCTACTTCGAGGGCCAGGACAGCGGCTTGCAGGCAGCCCACAACATCAGGTATTGGATGGCGGTGGCAGTAGTCCTGTACTTCGTCGCCATACTCTTTTTCATCCTCTCCGAAGGCCAGGACTTCGGTCGGCTGGCCGCCCACGACATCATGTACTTGTTGGTTGTGGTGTTTTTTTCCTTCATTGTCATTGTTCTCTTTCCCCCTATCCGAGGGCCAACATTGCGGCTGTCAGACTGCCCACAGCATCAGGTATTGGTTGTTGTTGGTGGTGGTGGATTTCTCCCTCATCGCCATCTTCCTCTTCCGCCTCTCTTCCGAGGGCCAGGATTTGGGCCGGCAGGCCGCTCGCATTTGTTGGGTCATCCAGAGGGCCCACAGAGTTGTACCAACACAGAGAACCACGCTCTGAGAATATCATCTGGCTCCCCGCCCGTGTGCAGGTGGGAAAGTTCAAGCTTCATGGCCGTCAGGTGCGACGCATTCTCAAGCAAAACGCCCGACACAGCTGGGGGAGGAGGAAGACGAGGCGGACGAAAGGGAAAGGAGGATGATTAACAACAACTTGTGGGCAGGAGGAGTGGGGAGATGACGAGGAGGGGCGGGAGCAGGAGGAGGAGGAAGACGAGGAGGAGGAGGAGGAGGAGGAGGAGGAGGAGGAGGGGAGGAGGAGGAGGAGGAAGGAAATGAGGCAGGAGGCGGGAGGAGGAGGAGGAGGAGGAGGAGGAGGAGGAGGAGGAGGAGGAGGAGGAGGAGGAGGAGGAGGAGGAGGGGAGAAGGCTTTGGAGTAGAGGGAGGGAAGGATGAAAGAGGAGGGCTGGGCGGACAGGAGGAGGAGGTGGAGGAGGGAGAGGAGGAGGAGGAGGGGAGAAGGCTTTGGAGTAGAAGGAGGGAAGGATGAAAGAGGAGGGCTGGGCGGACAGGAGGAGGAGGTGGAGGAGGGAGAGGAGGCGGAGGATGAGAAGGAGGAGAAGGAGGAGCAGGAGCACGAGCAGGAGCAAGAGCACATCAGCAGGATGGGGAGCACGGGGAGTGAGGCGGCATGGCTGACCCTCCCCCCTGCGGAGCGCCACCCTCCCCACTCTCTATCGTTCCTCCTCATCCATCCGTCTCCGTCTCCTAAGTCGTTCTCCGAACAGGGTTGCTCCTTGGGAAGCGTCGCTGGCCGCCCGTCTGCGATCTTCCGTTGACGTTTCGCTCAAGCTTTTTCCCCACGGGGCATGGTGCCCCCGTGGACGGTCGGAGCCCTCACCCAGCTGTCGCATGGCGTGGCCTCCTGGTTGAGTCGGGCGCCGCCGCCGCCGCCGTGCCCGGCGCTGGAGTGCCCGAGCTGCCACTGCGTCTGCCCCGCGGTGCCGCCCTGCCCGGCCTGCCCGGGGGCGCCGGCTCCCCAGTGCCCGCTGCAGGAGCGGGGGCGCGCCTCCACGGCGCCCGCAGCCCCGACGGTCGCGGCGGCCTGGGGGACGACCGTGGCGTCGCTCGTGATCGGCATCGCGCTCGGCGACCTCGGGAGGTGGCGCGATGGCTGCTGCTGCCGCCGACGTCGTGCTCGCGCTGGAAGGAGTGGACCAGGTGGCTTACCTCCTGTATGCGGTCCCGGGGGCGCCCCTGTGGCACCAGCGCTGGAATTTGGGTCGGGTGGTGTCTTGTCCGAGTGACGCGATCCTGGTCTCGCCGGACCACCAGGTGCAGTGCGAGGTGGTGGACGGGTCGTCGGCCGACATCAGCGCGGTGCGGTGGGCGCCCGCCCTCGCCCCCCGGCCGCCGGGCGTCGTGCGGGCCTACCGCTTCGCGAGTGCCCCGACCGCGGCGGAGATCGCGTCCTGGCTCCCAGATGCCCAGGCCGAGGCTCGGCGCTGCTTCGCTCGGCGCCACCCGGGCGTGGCCGTGCCGGCGCCCGTCTTCGAGGCGTGGCCCTGGGCTGCGCCGGGGGCGCCGGCTGGCGCCGTCGGGCCCGCCCCAGCCGCGGTGGCCGCTGCCGCCGGGCCGCCGGGCGGAGGCTGGGTCGTCGTGCCAGCGGGGGGCCCTCCGCCCGCCGCGGCGCCCGCCGCCCCGGCCCCCGCGCCCTTGCCGGGCGGTGTGATGCGCCGAGGCGGTGCGGCCGCGGCGGCTGCGCCGGCCGCCGGCGGCGGGGAGGCGGGCGGGGCGCCGGCGCCCGCGGGCGCAGCGCTCGCAGCGGCCGTGGTCGGGGCGGCCCGACCCCTGGTGCTGGCAGGAGGCGCTGGCGACGCCGCCCCCGCCCCGGTGGGGAACTGGCGGGTCGCCCTGGAGTGGAGGGGGTACCACTACGGCGACGTGATCACCCCTCCAGCGGGCTTCGCTGGGGCGGGCGTTCCCGCCCGCGGAGTCGTCCCGCTCGCGGACGGGTCGGCTCTCTTCGTCGAGTGGGTGGCCCTCGGTGACGAGTCGGACTTCGCCGACCGGGCGGTGGCGCCGGATTGCCGCCTGCTGCCGGTCCGCCTCGATCGCGCGGGCAGGCCGTTCCGGACGCTCGAGAACCTCGTGGAGAGCTGCCGCCAGGAGCACCTCCCCGACTTCATCGCGCCGAGGACGACCATGTGGTGCCTGGAGCACCTCGCGGGCGAGGGTCGCTCTCTCGAGTCCCACTTCGAGCACTTCAAGAAGCTGTGCGGCCTCCAGGACTCCCAGTGGGGCATGGAGGAGTACGCCAGCGTGATCAGCTACCTGAAGGCGCTGCTCCAGCACGACCAGGTGGACGCGTCCAACATCCTGTCGGTGGAGATGATGTTCCGCCGGCTCCAGACGATCGAGTACTGCTACAGTGACAAGTTGCGCGAGAGGACGGCTGGCTCCTCCGCGGGAAGGCTCACCGCCGACGAGCAGGCCGCCTTCGGCGCGACGGCCCGAGCCGAGTCGAGGCTCATGGTGTCGCCCGCGCTGCTCGAGAGCGCCAAGCAGGAGCTGGAGCGCGACGCCTCGCTGGCCAAGAGCCTCCTGAAGACGCGCGAGGCTCGGGAGTCGCTGGGCAAGCGGAGGCAGGGCCAGGGGAAGGACCAGGGGTGATGCCCGACCGCCCCCCCCAGACGTCCCTCAGGTCTGGGGGGGGGGATCCCGACATGACTGGGGATGCTCGGCACGCCGTCGCGCCGCCGGGGAATTTTGACAGGAACGTGGGGAGGGATTTGCTACCTTTCCCCACGGAGCTGCTTAACTCGTCGGAGCCACCTGCACCTGGGCTCTCGCGAGTTTGCCGGCAGAGAGTCGGCCGTCGGCAGCGTCGTCACGCCGACGTTCTTCGGTGCTTGGAAGGTCTCAACACGATATACGGCCGCCGTGAAGGGGTACCTGGACTTCCTGAACTGAGCCTTGGGCAGCAGCGTATGCTCGATCACGTTGAGTCTTCTGTCTCTTTCCTGGGGCCTCCCCCAGGTGATCTTTCGCAGGCGGCAGCCCTCCAGGCGCTGCGCCTCGGCCTCCCCTACGACGCAGGGGGGGGCCCCGTGGGCTATGAAGCCTCCCGCGTGTCCCTCCCGGCAGCTGGGTCGGTTCCGACTCCGCTCGCCCGGTTTTGGGGATCCGGCGGGGAAAGTACTGTTGCACGCTTTGCTGAGTCGCAAGTTTTGCCCATCGACGTGGCACGAATGAGGTTAAAGGACTCGGGGCCCCTGCGGCCCTACGGTGACCCCCGCCTCCACTCTCCCTCTTTGTACGGCGAATTCATACAGCGATTGGTCGAGGCTGGCGTAGCCGAGCTGACGCTCGAGCGACCTACCGAGGTAGTTGATTGCTTCTTTGTAAAGAAGGGGGGCGGCAAGCAGCGGCTGGTCGTCGACTGTAGGAGGTCTAACCAGCACTTCGAGCCGCCCGCCCCTGTCAGTCTTGTCTCAGGCGACACTCTTTCCCAGGTGCATAACGACGAC